CCATTTTAGTCCCACATCTATGGTATTGCTTCAACGCATTATAATAATTATTATTAATAAATAATAATGAGATTGTATTTAAAGACATTTAAAAATATCATAGATATAATATTTTGAACGATTAAAATGCGTCAACAAGCATAGCTTACTAATCCTTTAGGCTATGTCGGTTACTCTGGTTCTTCTACGGATATCCTCGTTTGAGTGACGATCTGGTAAGACATGCAGAAAGTCAATGGATACAAGTGGCTCGGGTCCGTGCTTTGTCGCATTCCTTAGGGGAGGCTTATGTTCAGCAGTTGACTTGTGAAGGGCTTTAATTTTTTAATATAATAATTTTAATAATTGTCGGTTCTTCGAAATCGATGACCGGCCCATTGCAACTTCAACTTACTAATCCGTTGGGCTATGTCAGTAACTCTGGTTCCTAGTTTGAAGAGCACCTCACGCCCTCCCTCAATTGCGTGCACGGGGACGAGGATCCGTCGCCACTAATCCCAACAACACTACTCCCAACACCACTACACTAGGAAAGACACAACACTGACGACAATACGACACGTGATTCGCCTCTACACGAGGCATCTTCTGGTGATGTAGACTCTGGTGGCTAACCGCTAAGTGCGGTGGCTGACGTAGTTCTTAGCGGTATCATTTTATTTTATAGAGCAGATATATGCAAGGTCATTTTTACTAAATTTTATAATGAGGAATTAACTGATTTGAACCTGATACAAGTGGAATAGGGACGATTTAATATTCTTAACTTTTTGAGTCCTGTCTTCGTGAACGGGGTTCTTTAGCTTATAATAATTATAAGGCACACCGCCAGCTTTTGAATGCTGTAGTGAATATACATTCTTCTAAGAGACACCTGAAAGAACTAAGTAACTAATCAAACACAATGTAAATAAGGGACCTAACTAAGACCAGCACGCTATAAATTAATAAAACGGCCTATAACTAAATATATGGTTATTATACTGGTCACATAAATTGTAATGTATATTTTAAAACTATACCCTACTGTAGGATATTCCCCTGTATCGCGAAGATATTTCAAACTTCCACACACAGAATTACTATTGTAGACCATACAAACACTTGATCCTTGCGGGATTTGAACCCGCAATCAGCTCGCAGCCAGGATCACAAGACTAAAAAACATAAGATGTTCTGTTTATAACTGAATATCAACCGAACGCTACTTAACGGTCTTTAGGAGGGCATTAATCCTATTAACCACTCCAACTAAGTTGAAAATACTTATTCTAGCTAGCGGCTAAAGACCGCATTTAGTCGAACGATGGCTTAGAAGTCATGACTTTTAATCTCGTACCCTTAATTATTAAGTTAATGCCGTTCAATAAATACAGAATTTCTTTTAAGTGAAATAAATTACCGCATTGTAATGATTGTCAAAGCCCTTTTTATTACCAGATTCCATTAACTTTAAAAGAAAAATGAGTTCGCCACTGTAAGAGGTCAAGAGTGTTGGATATATGCAATGTCACTTGGACAAAGCTGCTAGCTAAATAATTTATTATTACTATTTGCTTCGTAACCTATACTGAAATTATGAGTATGTGAGCGCCTTGAGTATATTTTGCGAGTGCATGCGTGTGTGTGTTTGTGATCACAAGCGTTAGATTTAGATTTTAGTTAGACTGTATACATGTGTCTTCAACACACTTGTTCTATAGCCATAATATTTATACTGATATTGCTAGTTACTTAATTATATAAAAATACATACAACACACGATAATCAGAAAAAAACATAAAAATTAGCATAGCCTGCGTCGTTTCTCGTTAATAGTCTTTTTCTTTCTTTAAAGAAACCATAAAGTGCAATTGCAGGAAGAGTTTTCCAATCATCCCTTTGAATTTATGAGTTTGTTCTTGTTTATATTGTACACCGTTATATTTCAATTAACTTGCAATATAATATTATTTTGTGCACTGGGTTCATCAATAAACGAATAAATGGCAATTTTGTCGGTTTATCTACTATAAAGCCAATGTCTTAAATTGATTAAAACCTGCATGTCTGAAAATTGAAATGTTTCAAGGTCAAATAAAATTCGCAAAAAATTGCAGCAGCTTTGCAAACTAATTGCTCCTTTAAGGCGTTGTTCTGACAGAACGTGATAAAACAAAAATATAATGTATAATAAGTATTTGCAAAAACTAATAAGGACATTTACGATTTTTCTACTACCAGGGCGGCACCACATAAGATGTGGTGAAGTATTATTAGAAAAGGAGTAGATTTGTTAAGAAAATGTATGAGTTAAATCCAAAATTTTGGTACATTTTTATATTAATTTCATTAAAAATAAATAAACAACGTTACCATACCCAAAACTTTTTATAATTATTTTCCGTAATAATATTGTCATAATTTAAATTCTAAGCCATAACCTACATTAACCACAGTGGTTCCTTCTCACCGGCACAACTACTGTGACAACGAAGGAAAGGGCAGCCCAATGCATGTCAGCTATCATTTTTAGTACAAGCACACCAAGATCGCACCCAGTTTCCGAATCGTCGCGTGTAAATAGGCGGTACTCGCCTCCGCTAGCGGGGCAACCTCGAATTCATCCTGAACGTGGTATTGAATAGCATTTGGAGGTCCTTGTAACTTCGCTTTGTGTAATCGGCCTACAGGCTGCAGGTGTATAGTTATGTACTACTACTATTACTACTACACTACTACAGCCTATCACAACTCCTGAGCCATCCACATTCATAGACCACCTGAATGTTCCATCAGCTCGTAACAATAAGTCGTGACAGACAATAAATGAGGTCTAGCGAGTCACGTCCAGTAGTGAGATAACAGTGCCTTTATAATAAAATGTAGCGTTTATTAAAACATACAACGCGATAAAATAAAAGCAACAAATACATAATATAATGAAAAGAAGAAAATATTTATGTTACAGATTAGACAAAAACTATAAGACGATCGCTTAGGTATTAAAAAAAAGCAATCAGGTCACACAATGTAATATTTATATAGCTATGTACTTACTACCTTGACCCCTTTTGTGGGTGTACAAACCCACTCACCACACTGCACAAATTTTTAATACAAAAATTTATTGTTTTTATATAAAAAATTAACATAAATACAATAGTAAAATTCAATATGACAACAGAAAATGTTGGGTATATCTGATATTAGCGATCCGCCCCGGCTTTGCACGGGTGATTTCTGGATCTCAACAATAACGCCACCTACCGGGTTTAATTGTGAATCTAAAGTATCCAGGGGCCCACTGAAACGCACACAATTTTCTAATCAATATCATTTGACCCGTTTTCGAGTTTTAGACTCAAGACTAACGGACAACAATTGATTTTATATAGGTATAGAGATAATAGCAATAACATACAATCGTAATATAATAGTTCGTTGCCAAGTTAAACGCGTGTGCAATATTCATTATGAACGATATCACGTTTGTGGTTGGCTGGAATTCAATTTTGTTCCAAGTAAGCGATGCATGACACGCGTTTGAGTAGCTCACAATTAAAGCATACGATTCGATGAAATGACAATGGTTAAAAATTGATACAACTGAATTAGTTTATTACGAAATTTGCATGATTGCTGTTAAATATGTTAATAATGATATGTATTAGAGTTAAAAGAACTAAAAACGCTTATATCAAGAGCTATGATTCTAACAACATTATTATGAATTTTTGTAATGCCAACCCTTCTTAATACGTCTGCGAAATTTCAGATTATTAAAAACTGAATAAAAAATATTTTACATATCACTCACAGAGTTTAGAAAAAAAGGCATAGACACATAATGGTTAAGCTAAAATAAAGCTTATAAATAATATAAACGAGAGAAATGAGACGGAAAGCAGCATCTTCCTGATAACAATTCTGCGGTCACAAATACTCACAATAAAGTAAAAATAAATTTAAAAGGTATGTAGGCGTGTAAAAACAGATTAAACAATGAACTATTTAAAATATATGAATAATAATATATGGTTATTACAGTTTTTGAAACAAACTTTAACATAATAAAATTTTAAATTAAATTTTAATTTTAATTTACTTCATTATCTTTATAAAATTGTTACGTTATGTATAAAATTTAAGATAAGTTCTATTACTGAGTTCCTTTATTTGAAATGTGTACAAATTAAGAATTTGTTATACTTACTGTTTATATATTATTTTATGTTAAAGAAAATGTTATGTTTAGAAAGCAAACATTTGAATTGTCATTTAGTTAGTTTTATATATATTTTAAAAAAGCAATATCTTGTATTTTCTATATTTACGAACAAGATATCTTTTTGTCATAAATATGATTATAGTATATATTACCATTTTAAATTAATCATAAAATAATTTTTTTTTATTCTAAATTAAAGTTAATTTAAGTTAATTTACGCTAAAGTAAATTAAAGTTAATTTACGCTAAAGATAATAAGTTAATTGTGACTTTTATTTTTATATTATATTACTATTATTACCTTATATTTAATACTACAATGTCTATTCATATAATATGGAATATTTGCAGCCATTCTTGTGAAAATTACTTATTCTATATTTACTTATTATGTTATTGGATATAGGATTGACGTCACGGACGCGTCGATGCAGTGATAAGCTGTTACTTATAATTGATTAAATAATATTTTTAATGCAATATTATAGCTTAAAGTTTATTTATTTGATAGTTAACATAACATTACATATCAGTGAGTCTTTTACAGCAAATTAGTGCAGTTACTAGTTACTAAACCAGTGAATATATAAACAAGTTGAACGAATACAATTGGTTTGGTTTTTTATTTGCTAGTTACGGTCACCCGCACAACTTACTTATGTGATTTACCTACATACTTTTGCTGCATACACCTCCGTACTGATTACTTTACTGAACTGATTATAATACATCCAGTGCCTTCAGTGGGTGAGTGGAGTATATAAGATATATGAACTGTGCTTCTTAAATATGGTTAAATGTGGAGCTTGTGGTAAATTCCTTTCTACGGCAGAGGCCGTTAAATGTGGACAATGTCCAGTATTATATCATCGAGCTTGTGTAGGAGTCTCCGAACGCTCTAAGGTTAATGAACGGTGGCAATGTCCAGAGTGTAAAAGGACTATACCAAAGGGTAACAACTCTTCTACTCCTGTTAGGGGCATGGTTACAGAGAGTGAAAATTTAAAGTCTGCAATCTCCGGAACAAGCAGTGCCTCAGAAAATATGGCAACCAGCTCCCCTGAGTCTTTTCACCAGGAATTGATTCCGGAAATTCGGCTTTTCAGAGACGAACTTTGTAGGGTCAGGGAGGAGCTAAAGGATTTTCGGAGGGATATGGTTGAACTGCGGGAATGTTTAGTGATGAATAATAAAAGAATGGATGAAATGGAGGGCAGGATTAGCATTCTAGAGCAGAAGACTCAATGCAGCAGGTCTGTCGAAATAAATGAGCTCGAACAAACCGTTTCTCGACTCACGAGTGAGCTTAATGATCGAGAGCAGGAGTTGCTTGCGGCTGACCTTGAGATCACAAATATTCCGGAAGAAAGAACTGAGAACATCACTCATACGATCGTGTTGATAGCTGCCAAGCTCGGAGTATCGCTGGACGAGAGGGACGTCGTGTTTGCGGATCGTGTGGGTGTAAGGAATCAGGGTGACAGTGCAGATGAAGGTAAGGGGCGGGGACGACGCGTCGTGGTGCGTCTAGCGCGCCGCCAGCTGCGCGACGAGTTGTTACGAAGCGCACGCGTGCGACGCAATGCTACTACCGCTGATCTTGGTTTGCCAGGTCCACCTTGTCGCTTCTATATTAATGAGCGTCTCTCAAGAGCTAATCGTCAGCTATTCTACCGGGTTCGGGAGGCAACAAGGCAACTGCGGTGGAGATATTCATGGACCAGACGTGGTAAAATCTATGCTCGTCAGGAAGATGGGAAGACTGCTCATTGCCTCCGATCTGAGGCAGATCTGATCCGTGTTTTTGGCAACGATGCAGTTAGGCCACCTTCAAGTTAATTTAAGGACGTTGCTATTTTTGAATATTATTTATATTTGTACACGCATGCATATTTTTTATCCTGGATGTAATTCTTGTTTTAAAACTTATACTTTTTTTAGTATGATTTTTCAGTACGCTACGTTTAAGCTGTGTAACCTTTTGATTTGTTATGTTACTGCTGTTCACTTTAGCATTTATACTTTATATTATTATCGGCCAATTGCTATAATACTTTTTACGTTTAATATTATGTATAAGCTACAAAAATGTTCGGTTGTAAGATTTGTAAAAAATAACAAATTTAATAGTGGTAAAAATATTCATAGTCATCAAATACTTATACCGCTACAGTTGTTTTACATACATTATAATTCATACTCAATACCAATAATTGTTATAAGTGAAAATTGCACTCCTAAAATTCTATTAAATTATATAATTATGTTAAATATGTTATATTACATTACATACTGTGATCGCTTATTTTTATATTATGATTTAAATCTATGGGGAAAACACATTAATATTAAAACAAATTCAGTATTTACAATCCAACCAACTTAATAAAAGTGAAAAACAAATTACTAAAAATTGGTTTGTTTAATGCTGGGTCGCTGGGTACACGCCAAGACGAACTTATAGCTGCTCTAGAGGACTCCCAGGTTGACATAATGGCAATAAATGAAACATGGCTGAGGGAGGGTGAGGAAGGGCGCGCTCCCGTTGTGCCCGGGTACCGGCTGCGGCACGCGCCGCGGCCGACTGCCGTGCGTGGCGGCCGCGGAGGTGGCGTTGGCTTTTACATACGCTCGGGGATAGCAGTGCGTTCTTGTTCGCATCCTTCCTCCATCAACGTCGAGCAAATGTGGCTTTCTCTTACGATCAACACGCAGAATATTATGATTGGTACAGCTTATCGTCCCCCTTGGCTCGATGTAAATATTTTCCTGGATGCTCTCACTTCATCTATCGTTTCATTCGCAAGAGCAGACAAAATCATCCTTGTAGGCGATTTCAATATAAACTTGCTTAAAACAGATGACTCTAAAACTAAACTTCTTCATAGTTTTCTCAATTATACTCGTCTATCTCAAGTTATATCTGAGCCTACACATTATACAGACCACAGCGAAACTCTCATTGACTTGGTATGCTCCGACATTGGTGTTTGTAATACTACAGTGTCACATATACCACAATTAGGGCAACATGCATTAATAACCGTACAATTTACAATTAAAAAGGATAAGGTTATAGCCCGTAGGGCTTACATTCGTCAACTTAAACAGATTTTGGTAGACCATTTTAATGCAGATTTAAACAGTATTGATTGGGATAGTATTTTATATCTCAACGATGTTAATGATATGGTAGCTTTATTTAATTCATTTATAATAACGCTTTTTGACCTTCATGCCCCAATTAAATTAGTACAATTGAAAAAACAATGTCACCCATGGATTACTGATACAGTTAAAATTATGATGAGGTATCGAAACAATTATCTCATGCGATATAAGAAAACTAAACTAGATAAATATTATAATTCCTATAAAGATTTAAAAAACCTTGTGACTAATGCTATTCATTTTGAAAAGAAAGCATATTTTGAAACGTCTATAAATAAAAACTTAAGTAACCCTAAAGCTCTTTGGAGAAGTATAAAATCCAATATTATTACTAAGGAACAGGCTGAGATTAATTTACCAGATCATTGTAATAACCCTGATATAATAAATAAACATTTTTTGAATATTCCCGGTAATGATAATATAGACCTTTCACAACTATCTTTCTATGAGTTTAACAGATATGGACCAGGTATTTTCCATTTGACTACTACAAATGAGGAGCAAGTGGCTAAAATTGTTCAAAATTTTAAATCTAACGCCCAAGGTGTGGATCAGATAACACTTAATATGTTGCTTATGACACTGCCACATACTTTGAAAGCTATTACTGCCATTGTGAATAAATCTATTACCACCTCCACCTTCCCCAATCAATGGAAAACAGCTGTGGTAAAACCTATCCCAAAAAAAAACAAGCTACCTCTTTAAAAGATTTACGTCCTATAAGCATCTTGCCTTGTTTGTCTAAGGTACTAGAGAAAGTGGTCTGTACGCAGTTAACTGAATACTTAGAGCAACATAAAATCTTACCGCGGGCACAGTCGGGTTTTCGTAAAGATCATAGCACCACAACAGCGATTATTGATGTTATCGACAACATACTAACAGCCCAGGATAAGGGAATGGGCACAATACTTACTCTTTTAGATTTCTCACGAGCATTTGATTCTATAAATTGTACTCTTCTACTGTCCAAGTTATCTTTTTATGGATTTAATTCTTCCACAGTTAAATGGTTTCATAGTTACTTAACAGATAGATTGCAATACGTTAATATAACGAACCATGATGGCACAACACTTATGTCTGATCCATACGTAGTTACTCGCGGTATCCCACAGGGGTCTATCCTAGGTCCTATTTTATTTATTTTATATAGTTCAGACATCATTAACTGTATAAAAGAATGTGAGTATCATTTATACGCAGATGACTTACAAATATATAAATCTTTTTACCCTCGAGATTGTGAATCTGCTGTCAAATCATTAAATGAAGATCTGAAACGTATTTTGTTATGGTCCAAGCAAAATTCTCTAGAGCTAAATCCACAAAAGTCAAAATTTTTAATACTAGGAACAAATAAAAATATTCAAAATATATCACTGTTTCAGCCAGTAGTTCTAATTGACAATGAACCTATACAGCAAGTCTCAGAAGTACGAAATTTAGGTGTAATATTTGATTGTAGTTTGCGCTTTGAAAGTCATGTACTTGAGGGAGTGCGCAGTTGTTTTTATCGTTTAAAATTACTGTACCAAGTTCGGCAGTACCTCAGTGTAGATATGCGGATACGATTGTGTGAATCATTAATACTGTCCAAATTAAACTATGCAGATGCAGCCTATGGACCACGACTGTTGAGAAGAACAGAGAAGCTTATACAGCGGGTGCAAAATGCGTGTACTCGCTTTTGTTTTCCTGTCCCGCCTCGAAGTCATGTAACGCCTTATTTAAACGACGCCAATCTTCTTAAGATGAGCGCCCGGAGAAAATTACATCTTGCTACTCTATTATTCTCGACAATTATAAAGCAGAGACCGGTATATCTTTTCCAAAAGTTGAAATGTGCCCGAGACCAAAATAAATATAATACAAGAGCTTCCGTTCACTAGCTTGTAACAACTCGACACCGTACTGCTGCATTTCGAGGCAGATTCAAATTTGCAGCAACACACTGTTGGAATGATTTACCACCACCTATTCGTTCCCTAAAAACATTAAGTAGTTTTAAAAAGAAATTAAAGTTGCATTATTTGGTACAACAAGTACAAAATACGTAATAACTGTCTCGAACGTAGGAACCTACGATGATAGCAATATTTATATTTGTTCTACACTTTTCATGTTCGAATATTATTGATTATTAATGTGTTTCTGTTATGTATTTCATGAATGATTATTTATTAGTTTCAATCTTATTCTTTTTTTTTTGCTTTAAAAATCCACAGCAGGTCTCGTAACATGGCGTGTCTCTTTGACTCAGAATATTGAATTATCTAATTTTATGAAAAAAGTAAAAGTTGTCTTCCCCATAGAATAGTCAGAATAGTCTAATATCATCTTAATATTGTATGTATAAGTATGTAAGTAGGTATTATTTAAATGTATAGTAATATAACACACCTGTTACCTAGGTTTAGTCTCAGTGCATGTGTGTATACGTTATATAATATGTTAGCACTACCTTTTAACTCGTAATTGTTAATAGATAACTATGAACTCGTATATAACTCTTAGTTGGAAGATCACACACCGACTTGTCTGTGAAGTCACAAGGCTCCAACTGAAAACCAGCGCTGTATTTGCAGCATTATGCTGAGTTGGAGACCTATTTGATGTCACATTTTCATATTGATTATTTTTTTCGTTTTTACCTTTTTGTTTGTTTGTTTTATTATTGTGTATGTACTGCTTCTCAATTGTAAATGCGTAAACAGTGTAAGACTGGTACATGCATTCTTTTCCCCCTTGCTTTTGTTTATAATATTTTTTAATGTGTGTAAAATGTGTATATCAAATAAATAGTTCTTTCTTTCTTTCTTATACATTTTGCATTGTGTCTACTATATATCATTTTAAGTTATTTAATAATGCTGCAATACACAAATGCTTATTAACACTCATTGCTAATTACATTACAAAAAAAATAGTAATTAATACAAATATTTATCTGCACAAACATTTAAATACCTCAACCAACTGCATTCCAGCATTTTATTTTGTGAACAGGCGTCATTTAACAATTATAAAGAAATATCTTCACAATTCTAAATACATTTTATTGTCATTCGCATTTGTCTTACAATTTATTAAAAGAAAAAACATATCTTTAGGCTTACTAAATCCTTGCTCTCTTGGAACGCGTCATGAGGAGTTTGTCGTAGCGCTTGAGCGGCACTCGTTGGATATATTGGCTATCAATGAGACATGGTTGAGAGAAGGGAAAGAACGGCGAGCGCCAGCGCCACCCGGTTACCGACTACGGCACATACCGCGGCCTGCGAAAGTAAGCACGCGCGGTGGTGGTGTCGGGTTCTATCTTCGGAGTGACTTATACGCACGGCAGATTCACCCTCCCCAGCCTTCTTGATCGAGCAAATGTGGTTAAGTATAACCCTTAATGGTCTTAAACTCGCCGTAGGCACTGCGTATCGCCTGCCTTGGCTAAATATTGACACATTTATTGACGCATTGACTGAATCGATTAGTTCATTTTCTTCTTTTGATCATACAGTACTATTAGGTGATTTTAATATCAATCTACTTGCAGTTAACGAGCCCAACTCAAATAAATTATTATCTTCACTGAAAATCATGAATTTACAGCAATATGTAGAAAAACCAACTCACTTCATAGACCATTCTGAAACGTTATTAGACTT